CGATGAAACTACAACAGCAGGGTCGTCTACATACACCACCCCCGGTAAAACTGAAACTCCTGAGAAACAAACAAATGCAACAGACACTTCTGAAACCGTCACTCAAACAAGATCAACTGCGAAATCCAGTGAAACAACAATTACCGGTACTACGGAGTTACCAAACGCTGCAACAACAACCACTGTGGAACCATCTGTTACGCCCACAGACAGCAACTCTGAAATAACAGATATCACAAACGCTACGAAAACGTCCACTCCTGACGCTACCAGCTCTATTCACGTAACCGACAGCCATGAAACTACAACAGCAGGGTCGTCTACATACACCACGCCAGGTAAAACTGAAACTCCCGAGAAACAAACAAATGCAACAGACACTTCTGAAACCGTCACTCAAACAAGATCAACTGCGAAATCCAGTGAAACAACAATTACCGGTACTACGGACTTACCAAGCGCAGCAACAACAACCACTGTTGAATCATCTGTTACGCCCACAGACAGCAACTCTGAAATAACAGATATCACAAACGCTACGAAAACGTCAACTCCTGACGTTACCAGCTCTATTCACGTAACCGACAGCCATGAAACTACAACAGCAGGGTCGTCTACATACACCACGCCAGGTAAAACTGAAACTCCCGAGAAACAAACAAATGCAACAGACACTTCTGAAACCGTCACTCAAACAAGATCAACTGCGAAATCCAGTGAAACAACAATTACCCGTACTACGGAGTTACCAAGCGCTGCAACAACAACCACTGTTGAACCATCTGTTACGCCCACAGACAGCAACTCTGAAATTACAGATATCACAAATGCTACGAAAACGTCCACTCCTGACGTTACCAGCTCTATTCACGTAACCGACGGCGATGAAACGACAACAGCAGGGTCGTCTACATACACCACGCCAGGTAAAACTGAAACTCCTGAGAAACAAACAAATGCAACAGACACTTCTGAAACTGTCACTCAAACAAGATCAACTGCGAAATCCAGTGAAACAACAATTACCGGTACTACGGAGTTACCAAGCGCTGCAACAACAACCACTGTTGAACCATCTGTTACGCCCACAGACAGCAACTCTGAAATAACAGATATCACAAACGCTACGAAAACGTCCACTCCTGACGCTACCAGCTCTATTCACGTAACCGACAGCCATGAAACTACAACAGCAGGGTCGTCTACATACACCACGCCAGGTAAAACTGAAACTCCCGAGAAACAAACAAATGCAACAGACACTTCTGAAACCGTCACTCAAACAAGATCAACTGCGAAAGCCAGTGAAACAACAATTACCGGTACTACGGAGTTACCAAGCGCTGCAACAACAACCTCTGTTGAACCATCTGTTACGCCCACAGACAGCAACTCTGGAATAACAGATATCACAAACGCTACGAAATCGTCTACTCCTGACGTCACCAACTCTATTCACGTAACCGACGGCGATGAAACTACAACAGCAGGGTCGTCTACATACACCACCCCCGGTAAAACTGAAACTCCTGAGAAACAAACAAATGCAACAGACACTTCTGAAACCGTCACTCAAACAAGATCAACTGCGAAATCCAGTGAAACAACAATTACCGGTACTACGGAGTTACCAAACGCTGCAACAACAACCACTGTGGAACCATCTGTTACGCCCACAGACAGCAACTCTGAAATAACAGATATCACAAACGCTACGAAAACGTCCACTCCTGACGCTACCAGCTCTATTCACGTAACCGACAGCCATGAAACTACAACAGCAGGGTCGTCTACATACACCACGCCAGGTAAAACTGAAACTCCCGAGAAACAAACAAATGCAACAGACACTTCTGAAACCGTCACTCAAACAAGATCAACTGCGAAATCCAGTGAAACAACAATTACCGGTACTACGGACTTACCAAGCGCAGCAACAACAACCACTGTTGAATCATCTGTTACGCCCACAGACAGCAACTCTGAAATAACAGATATCACAAACGCTACGAAAACGTCAACTCCTGACGTTACCAGCTCTATTCACGTAACCGACAGCCATGAAACTACAACAGCAGGGTCGTCTACATACACCACGCCAGGTAAAACTGAAACTCCCGAGAAACAAACAAATGCAACAGACACTTCTGAAACCGTCACTCAAACAAGATCAACTGCGAAATCCAGTGAAACAACAATTACCCGTACTACGGAGTTACCAAGCGCTGCAACAACAACCACTGTTGAACCATCTGTTACGCCCACAGACAGCAACTCTGAAATAACAGATATCACAAACGCTACGAAAACGTCTACTCCTGACGTTACCAGCTCTATTCACGTAACCGACGGCGATGAAACGACAACAGCAGGGTCGTCTACATACACCACGCCAGGTAAAACTGAAACTCCTGAGAAACAAACAAATGCCACAGACACTTCTGAAACCGTCACTCAAACAAGATCAACTGCGAAATCCAGTGAAACAACAATTACCGGTACTACGGAGTTACCAAGCGCTGCAACAACAACCACTGTTGAATCATCTGTTACGCCCACAGACAGCAACTCTGAAATAACAGATATCACAAACGCTACGAAAACGTCTACTCCTGACGTTACCAGCTCTATTCACGTAACCGACGGCGATGAAACTACAACAGCAGGGTCGTCTACATACACCACCCCCGGTAAAACTGAAACTCCTGAGAAACAAACAAATGCAACAGACACTTCTGAAACCGTCACTCAAACAAGATCAACTGCGAAATCCAGTGAAACAACAATTACCCGTACTACGGAGTTACCAAGCGCTGCAACAACAACCACTGTTGAACCATCTGTTACGCCCACAGACAGCAACTCTGAAATAACAGATATCACAAACGCTACGAAAACGTCTACTCCTGACGTTACCAGCTCTATTCACGTAACCGACGGCGATGAAACTACAACATCAGGGTCGTCTACATACTCCACCCCAGGTAAAACTGAAACTCCTGAGAAACAAACAAGTGCAACAGACACTTCTGAAACCGTCACTCAAACAAGATCAACTGCGAAATCCAGTGAAACAACAATTACCGGTACTACGGAGTTACCAAGCGCTGCAACAACAACCACTGTTGAACCATCTGTTACGCCCACAGACAGCAACTCTGAAATTACAGATATCACAAATGCTACGAAAACGTCCACTCCTGACGTTACCAGCTCTATTCACGTAACCGACGGCGATGAAACGACAACAGCAGGGTCGTCTACATACACCACGCCAGGTAAAACTGAAACTCCTGAGAAACAAACAAATGCCACAGACACTTCTGAAACCGTCACTCAAACAAGATCAACTGCGAAAGCCAGTGAAACAACAATTACCGGTACTACGGAGTTACCAAGCGCTGCAACAACAACCTCTGTTGAACCATCTGTTACGCCCACAGACAGCAACTCTGGAATAACAGATATCACAAACGCTACGAAAACGTCTACTCCTGACGTTACCAGCTCTATTCACGTAACCGACGGCGATGAAACGACAACAGCAGAGTCGTCTACATACACCACGCCAGGTAAAACTGAAACTCCTGAGAAACAAACAAATGCCACAGACACTTCTGAAACCGTCACTCAAACAAGATCAACTGCGAAAGCCAGTGAAACAACAATTACCGGTACTACGGAGTTACCAAGCGCTGCAACAACAAGCTCTGTTGAACCATCTGTTACGCCCACAGACAGCAACTCTGGAATAACAGATATCACAAACGCTACGAAATCGTCTACTCCTGACGTCACCAGCTCTATTCACGTAACCGACGGCGATGAAACTACAACAGCAGGGGCGTCTACATACACCACCCCCGGTAAAACTGAAACTCCTGAGAAACAAACAAATGCAACAGACACTTCTGAAACCGTCACTCAAACAAGATCAACTGCGAAATCCAGTGAAACAACAATTACCGGTACTACGGAGTTACCAAGCGCTGCAACAACAACCACTGTTGAACCATCTGTTACGCCCACAGACAGCAACTCTGGAATAACAGATATCACAAACGCTACGAAAACGTCAACTCCTGACGTTACCAGCTCTATTCACCTAACCGACAGCCATGAAACTACAACAGCAGGGTCGTCTACATACACCACGCCAGGTAAAACTGAAACTCCTGAGAAACAAACAAATGCAACAGACACTTCTGAAACCGTCACTCAAACAAGATCAACTGCGAAATCCAGTGAAACAACAATTACCGGTACTACGGAGTTACCAAGCGCTGCAACAACAACCACTGTTGAACCATCTGTTACGCCCACAGACAGCAACTCTGAAATTACAGATACCACAAACGCTACGAAAACGTCTACTCCTGACGTTACCAGCTCTATTCACGTAACCGACGGCGATGAAACTACAACAGCAGGGTCGTCTACATACACCACGCCAGGTAAAACTGAAACTCCTGAGAAACAAACAAATGCAACAGACACTTCTGAAACCGTCACTCAAACAAGATCAACTGCGAAATCCAGTGAAACAACAATTACCGGTACTACGGAGTTACCAAGCGCTGCAACAACAACCACTGTTGAACCATCTGTTACGCCCACAGACAGCAACTCTGAAATAACAGATATCACAAACGCTACGAAAACGTCTACTCCTGACGTTACCAGCTCTATTCACGTAACCGACGGCGATGAAACTACAACAGCAGGGTCGTCTACATACACCACCCCCGGTAAAACTGAAACTCCTGAGAAACAAACAAATGCAACAGACACTTCTGAAACCGTCACTCAAACAAGATCAACTGCGAAAGCCAGTGAAACAACAATTACCGGTACTACGGAGTTACCAAGCGCTGCAACAACAACCTCTGTTGAACCATCTGTTACGCCCACAGACAGCAACTCTGGAATAACAGATATCACAAACGCTACGAAATCGTCCACTCCTGACGTCACCAGCTCTATTCACGTAACCGACGGCGATGAAACTACAACAGCAGGGTCGTCTACATACACCACCCCCGGTAAAACTGAAACTCCTGAGAAACAAACAAATGCAACAGACACTTCTGAAACCGTCACTCAAACAAGATCAACTGCGAAATCCAGTGAAACAACAATTACCGGTACTACGGAGTTACCAAGCGCTGCAACAACAACCACTGTTGAACCATCTGTTACGCCCACAGACAGCAACTCTGAAATAACAGATATCACAAACGCTACGAAAACGTCCACTCCTGACGTTACCAGCTCTATTCACGTAACCGACGGCGATGAAACTACAACAGCAGGGTCGTCTACATACACCACGCCAGGTAAAACTGAAACTCCTGAGAAACAAACAAATGCAACAGACACTTCTGAAACCGTCACTCAAACAAGATCAACTGCGAAAGCCAGTGAAACAACAATTACCGGTACTACGGAGTTACCAAGCGCTGCAACAACAACCTCTGTTGAACCATCTGTTACGCCCACAGACAGCAACTCTGGAATAACAGATATCACAAACGCTACGAAATCGTCTACTCCTGACGTCACCAGCTCTATTCACGTAACCGACGGCGATGAAACTACAACAGCAGGGTCGTCTACATACACCACTCCCGGTAAAACTGAAACTCCTGAGAAACAAACAAATGCAACAGACACTTCTGAAACCGTCACTCAAACAAGATCAACTGCGAAATCCAGTGAAACAACAATTACCGGTACTACGGAGTTACCAAGCGCTGCAACAACAACCACTGTTGAATCATCTGTTACGCCCACAGACAGCAACTCTGAAATAACAGATATCACAAACGCTACGAAAACGTCTACTCCTGACGTTACCAGCTCTATTCACGTAACCGACGGCGATGAAACTACAACAGCAGGGTCGTCTACATACACCACCCCCGGTAAAACTGAAACTCCTGAGAAACAAACAAATGCAACAGACACTTCTGAAACCGTCACTCAAACAAGATCAACTGCGAAATCCAGTGAAACAACAATTACCCGTACTACGGAGTTACCAAGCGCTGCAACAACAACCACTGTTGAACCATCTGTTACGCCCACAGACAGCAACTCTGAAATAACAGATATCACAAACGCTACGAAAACGTCTACTCCTGACGTTACCAGCTCTATTCACGTAACCGACGGCGATGAAACGACAACAGCAGGGTCGTCTACATACACCACGCCAGGTAAAACTGAAACTCCTGAGAAACAAACAAATGCAACAGACACTTCTGAAACTGTCACTCAAACAAGATCAACTGCGAAATCCAGTGAAACAACAATTACAGGTACTACGGAGTTACCAAGCGCTGCAACAACAACCACTGTTGAACCATCTGTTACGCCCACAGACAGCAACTCTGAAATTACAGATATCACAAATGCTACGAAAACGTCCACTCCTGACGTTACCAGCTCCATTCACGTAACCGACGGCGATGAAACTACAACAGCAGGGTCGTCTACATACACCACCCCCGGTAAAACTGAAACTCCTGAGAAACAAACAAATGCAACAGACACTTCTGAAACCGTCACTCAAACAAGATCAACTGCGAAATCCAGTGAAACAACAATTACCGGTACAACGGAGTTACCAAGCGCTGCAACAACAACCACTGTTGAACCATCTGTTACGCCCACAGACAGCAACTCTGAAATAACAGATATCACAAACGCTACGAAAACGTCTACTCCTGACGTTACCAGCTCTATTCACGTAACCGACGGCGATGAAACTACAACAGCAGGGTCGTCTACATACACCACCCCCGGTAAAACTGAAACTCCTGAGAAACAAACAAATGCAACAGACACTTCTGAAACCGTCACTCAAACAAGATCAACTGCGAAAGCCAGTGAAACAACAATTACCGGTACTACGGAGTTACCAAGCGCTGCAACAACAACCTCTGTTGAACCATCTGTTACGCCCACAGACAGCAACTCTGGAATAACAGATATCACAAACGCTACGAAATCGTCTACTCCTGACGTCACCAGCTCTATTCACGTAACCGACGGCGATGAAACTACAACAGCAGGGTCGTCTACATACACCACTCCCGGTAAAACTGAAACTCCTGAGAAACAAACAAATGCAACAGACACTTCTGAAACCGTCACTCAAACAAGATCAACTGCGAAATCCAGTGAAACAACAATTACCGGTACTACGGAGTTACCAAGCGCTGCAACAACAACCACTGTTGAATCATCTGTTACGCCCACAGACAGCAACTCTGAAATAACAGATATCACAAACGCTACGAAAACGTCTACTCCTGACGTTACCAGCTCTATTCACGTAACCGACGGCGATGAAACTACAACAGCAGGGTCGTCTACATACACCACCCCCGGTAAAACTGAAACTCCTGAGAAACAAACAAATGCAACAGACACTTCTGAAACCGTCACTCAAACAAGATCAACTGCGAAATCCAGTGAAACAACAATTACCCGTACTACGGAGTTACCAAGCGCTGCAACAACAACCACTGTTGAACCATCTGTTACGCCCACAGACAGCAACTCTGAAATAACAGATATCACAAACGCTACGAAAACGTCTACTCCTGACGTTACCAGCTCTATTCACGTAACCGACGGCGATGAAACGACAACAGCAGGGTCGTCTACATACACCACGCCAGGTAAAACTGAAACTCCTGAGAAACAAACAAATGCAACAGACACTTCTGAAACTGTCACTCAAACAAGATCAACTGCGAAATCCAGTGAAACAACAATTACAGGTACTACGGAGTTACCAAGCGCTGCAACAACAACCACTGTTGAACCATCTGTTACGCCCACAGACAGCAACTCTGAAATTACAGATATCACAAATGCTACGAAAACGTCCACTCCTGACGTTACCAGCTCCATTCACGTAACCGACGGCGATGAAACTACAACAGCAGGGTCGTCTACATACACCACCCCCGGTAAAACTGAAACTCCTGAGAAACAAACAAATGCAACAGACACTTCTGAAACCGTCACTCAAACAAGATCAACTGCGAAATCCAGTGAAACAACAATTACCGGTACAACGGAGTTACCAAGCGCTGCAACAACAACCACTGTTGAACCATCTGTTACGCCCACAGACAGCAACTCTGAAATAACAGATATCACAAACGCTACGAAAACGTCTACTCCTGACGTTACCAGCTCTATTCACGTAACCGACGGCGATGAAACTACAACAGCAGGGTCGTCTACATACACCACCCCCGGTAAAACTGAAACTCCTGAGAAACAAACAAATGCAACAGACACTTCTGAAACCGTCACTCAAACAAGATCAACTGCGAAATCCAGTGAAACAACAATTACCGGTACAACGGAGTTACCAAGCGCTGCAACAACAACCACTGTTGAACCATCTGTTACGCCCACAGACAGCAACTCTGAAATAACAGATATCACAAACGCTACGAAAACGTCTACTCCTGACGTTACCAGCTCTATTCACGTAACCGACGGCGATGAAACTACAACAGCAGGGTCGTCTACATACACCACCCCCGGTAAAACTGAAACTCCTGAGAAACAAACAAATGCAACAGACACTTCTGAAACCGTCACTCAAACAAGATCAACTGCGAAAGCCAGTGAAACAACAATTACCGGTACTACGGAGTTACCAAGCGCTGCAACAACAACCTCTGTTGAACCATCTGTTACGCCCACAGACAGCAACTCTGGAATAACAGATATCACAAACGCTACGAAATCGTCCACTCCTGACGTCACCAGCTCTATTCACGTAACCGACGGCGATGAAACTACAACAGCAGGGTCGTCTACATACACCACCCCCGGTAAAACTGAAACTCCTGAGAAACAAACAAATGCAACAGACACTTCTGAAACCGTCACTCAAACAAGATCAACTGCGAAATCCAGTGAAACAACAATTACCGGTACTACGGAGTTACCAAGCGCTGCAACAACAACCACTGTTGAACCATCTGTTACGCCCACAGACAGCAACTCTGAAATAACAGATATCACAAACGCTACGAAAACGTCCACTCCTGACGTTACCAGCTCTATTCACGTAACCGACGGCGATGAAACTACAACAGCAGGGTCGTCTACATACACCACGCCAGGTAAAACTGAAACTCCTGAGAAACAAACAAATGCAACAGACACTTCTGAAACCGTCACTCAAACAAGATCAACTGCGAAAGCCAGTGAAACAACAATTACCGGTACTACGGAGTTACCAAGCGCTGCAACAACAACCTCTGTTGAACCATCTGTTACGCCCACAGACAGCAACTCTGGAATAACAGATATCACAAACGCTACGAAATCGTCTACTCCTGACGTCACCAGCTCTATTCACGTAACCGACGGCGATGAAACTACAACAGCAGGGTCGTCTACATACACCACTCCCGGTAAAACTGAAACTCCTGAGAAACAAACAAATGCAACAGACACTTCTGAAACCGTCACTCAAACAAGATCAACTGCGAAATCCAGTGAAACAACAATTACCGGTACTACGGAGTTACCAAGCGCTGCAACAACAACCACTGTTGAATCATCTGTTACGCCCACAGACAGCAACTCTGAAATAACAGATATCACAAACGCTACGAAAACGTCTACTCCTGACGTTACCAGCTCTATTCACGTAACCGACGGCGATGAAACTACAACAGCAGGGTCGTCTACATACACCACCCCCGGTAAAACTGAAACTCCTGAGAAACAAACAAATGCAACAGACACTTCTGAAACCGTCACTCAAACAAGATCAACTGCGAAATCCAGTGAAACAACAATTACCCGTACTACGGAGTTACCAAGCGCTGCAACAACAACCACTGTTGAACCATCTGTTACGCCCACAGACAGCAACTCTGAAATAACAGATATCACAAACGCTACGAAAACGTCTACTCCTGACGTTACCAGCTCTATTCACGTAACCGACGGCGATGAAACGACAACAGCAGGGTCGTCTACATACACCACGCCAGGTAAAACTGAAACTCCTGAGAAACAAACAAATGCAACAGACACTTCTGAAACTGTCACTCAAACAAGATCAACTGCGAAATCCAGTGAAACAACAATTACAGGTACTACGGAGTTACCAAGCGCTGCAACAACAACCACTGTTGAACCATCTGTTACGCCCACAGACAGCAACTCTGAAATTACAGATATCACAAATGCTACGAAAACGTCCACTCCTGACGTTACCAGCTCCATTCACGTAACCGACGGCGATGAAACTACAACAGCAGGGTCGTCTACATACACCACCCCCGGTAAAACTGAAACTCCTGAGAAACAAACAAATGCAACAGACACTTCTGAAACCGTCACTCAAACAAGATCAACTGCGAAATCCAGTGAAACAACAATTACCGGTACAACGGAGTTACCAAGCGCTGCAACAACAACCACTGTTGAACCATCTGTTACGCCCACAGACAGCAACTCTGAAATAACAGATATCACAAACGCTACGAAAACGTCTACTCCTGACGTTACCAGCTCTATTCACGTAACCGACGGCGATGAAACTACAACAGCAGGGTCGTCTACATACACCACCCCCGGTAAAACTGAAACTCCTGAGAAACAAACAAATGCAACAGACACTTCTGAAACCGTCACTCAAACAAGATCAACTGCGAAAGCCAGTGAAACAACAATTACCGGTACTACGGAGTTACCAAGCGCTGCAACAACAACCTCTGTTGAACCATCTGTTACGCCCACAGACAGCAACTCTGGAATAACAGATATCACAAACGCTACGAAATCGTCTACTCCTGACGTCACCAGCTCTATTCACGTAACCGACGGCGATGAAACTACAACAGCAGGGTCGTCTACATACACCACTCCCGGTAAAACTGAAACTCCTGAGAAACAAACAAATGCAACAGACACTTCTGAAACCGTCACTCAAACAAGATCAACTGCGAAATCCAGTGAAACAACAATTACCGGTACTACGGAGTTACCAAGCGCTGCAACAACAACCACTGTTGAATCATCTGTTACGCCCACAGACAGCAACTCTGAAATAACAGATATCACAAACGCTACGAAAACGTCTACTCCTGACGTTACCAGCTCTATTCACGTAACCGACGGCGATGAAACTACAACAGCAGGGTCGTCTACATACACCACCCCCGGTAAAACTGAAACTCCTGAGAAACAAACAAATGCAACAGACACTTCTGAAACCGTCACTCAAACAAGATCAACTGCGAAATCCAGTGAAACAACAATTACCCGTACTACGGAGTTACCAAGCGCTGCAACAACAACCACTGTTGAACCATCTGTTACGCCCACAGACAGCAACTCTGAAATAACAGATATCACAAACGCTACGAAAACGTCTACTCCTGACGTTACCAGCTCTATTCACGTAACCGACGGCGATGAAACGACAACAGCAGGGTCGTCTACATACACCACGCCAGGTAAAACTGAAACTCCTGAGAAACAAACAAATGCAACAGACACTTCTGAAACTGTCACTCAAACAAGATCAACTGCGAAATCCAGTGAAACAACAATTACCGGTACTACGGAGTTACCAAGCGCTGCAACAACAACCACTGTTGAACCATCTGTTACGCCCACAGACAGCAACTCTGAAATTACAGATATCACAAATGCTACGAAAACGTCCACTCCTGACGTTACCAGCTCTATTCACGTAACCGACGGCGATGAAACGACAACAGCAGGGTCGTCTACATACACCACGCCAGGTAAAACTGAAACTCCTGAGAAACAAACAAATGCCACAGACACTTCTGAAACCGTCACTCAAACAAGATCAACTGCGAAAGCCAGTGAAACAACAATTACCGGTACTACGGAGTTACCAAGCGCTGCAACAACAACCTCTGTTGAACCATCTGTTACGCCCACAGACAGCAACTCTGGAATAACAGATATCACAAACGCTACGAAAACGTCTACTCCTGACGTTACCAGCTCTATTCACGTAACCGACGGCGATGAAACGACAACAGCAGGGTCGTCTACATACACCACGCCAGGTAAAACTGAAACTCCTGAGAAACAAACAAATGCCACAGACACTTCTGAAACCGTCACTCAAACAAGATCAACTGCGAAAGCCAGTGAAACAACAATTACCGGTACTACGGAGTTACCAAGCGCTGCAACAACAAGCTCTGTTGAACCATCTGTTACGCCCACAGACAGCAACTCTGGAATAACAGATATCACAAACGCTACGAAATCGTCTACTCCTGACGTCACCAGCTCTATTCACGTAACCGACGGCGATGAAACTACAACAGCAGGGGCGTCTACATACACCACCCCCGGTAAAACTGAAACTCCTGAGAAACAAACAAATGCAACAGACACTTCTGAAACCGTCACTCAAACAAGATCAACTGCGAAATCCAGTGAAACAACAATTACCGGTACTACGGAGTTACCAAGCGCTGCAACAACAACCACTGTGGAACCATCTGTTACGCCCACAGACAGCAACTCTGAAATAACAGATATCACAAACGCTACGAAAACGTCCACTCCTGACGTTACCAGCTCTATTCACGTAACCGACAGCCATGAAACTACAACAGCAGGGTCGTCTACATACACCATGCCAGGTAAAACTGAAACTCCTGAGAAACAAACAAATGCAACAGACACTTCTGAAACCGTCACTCAAACAAGATCAACTGCGAAAGCCAGTGAAACAACAATCACCGGTACTACGGAGTTACCAAGCGCTGCAACAACAACCTCTGTTGAACCATCTGTTACGCCCACAGACAGCAACTCTGGAATAACAGATATCACAAACGCTACGAAATCGTCTACTCCTGACGTCACCAGCTCTATTCACGTAACCGACGGCGATGAAACTACAACAGCAGGGTCGTCTACATACACCACCCCCGGTAAAACTGAAACTCCTGAGAAACAAACAAATGCAACAGACACTTCTGAAACCGTCACTCAAACAAGATCAACTGCGAAATCCAGTGAAACAACAATTACCGGTACTACGGAGTTACCAAGCGCTGCAACAACAACCACTGTGGAACCATCTGTTACGCCCACAGACAGCAACTCTGAAATAACAGATATCACAAACGCTACGAAAACGTCCACTCCTGACGTTACCAGCTCTATTCACGTAACCGACAGCCATGAAACTACAACAGCAGGGTCGTCTACATACACCACGCCAGGTAAAACTGAAACTCCCGAGAAACAAACAAATGCAACAGACACTTCTGAAACCGTCACTCAAACAAGATCAACTGCGAAATCCAGTGAAACAACAATTACCGGTACTACGGAGTTACCAAGCGCTGCAACAACAACCACTGTTGAATCATCTGTTACGCCCACAGACAGCAACTCTGAAATAACAGATATCACAAACGCTACGAAAACGTCTACTCCTTACGTTACCAGCTCTATTCACGTAACCGACGGCGATGAAACAACAACAGCAGGGTCGTCTACATACACCACGCCAGGTAAAACTGAAACTCCCGAGAAACAAACAAATGCAACAGACACTTCTGAAACCGTCACTCAAACAAGATCAACTGCGAAATCCAGTGAAACAACAATTACCGGTACTACGGACTTACCAAGCGCAGCAACAACAACCACTGTTGAATCATCTGTTACGCCCACAGACAGCAACTCTGAAATAACAGATATCACAAACGCTACGAAAACGTCAACTCCTGACGTTACCAGCTCTATTCACGTAACCGACAGCCATGAAACTACAACAGCAGGGTCGTCTACATACACCACGCCAGGTAAAACTGAAACTCCCGAGAAACAAACAAATGCAACAGACACTTCTGAAACCGTCACTCAAACAAGATCAACTGCGAAATCCAGTGAAACAACAATTACCCGTACTACGGAGTTACCAAGCGCTGCAACAACAACCACTGTTGAACCATCTGTTACGCCCACAGACAGTAACTCTGAAATAACAGATATCACAAACGCTACGAAAACGTCTACTCCTGACGTCACCAGCTCTATTCACCTAACCGACGGCGATGAAACTACAACATCAGGGTCGTCTACATACTCCACCCCAGGTAAAACTGAAACTCCTGAGAAACAAACAAATGCAACAGACACTTCTGAAACCGTCACTCAAACAAGATCAACTGCGAAATCCAGTGAAACAACAATTACCGGTACCACGGAGTTACCAAGCGCTGTAACAACAACCACTGTTGAATCATCTGTTACGCCCACAGACAGCAACTCTGAAATAACAGATATCACAAACGCTACGAAAATGTCTACACCTGACGTTACGAGCTGTGTTGAAGTAACCGACAGCGACGCAACAACAACAGAATCTTCTACAACTACTACGGCATGTAGATCTGAAACTTCTAGGGCTGTAACAAGTCCAGCAATAACTTCAGAAATCATGACGACTCCACAAGAGACTACCACGCATGCAAAAACCACAGAAAAATCCAATGAAACTACAATTATCAGCACTACGGCTTCACCAAGCAGTGCAACAACAACAACGGTTGAACCGTCGATTACTGTCACAAATAGCACCTCCGAAATTGCGTATACCACAAGCGCAACAGATATTTCTACACCTAGCGTTTCGGACACCGAGGAAATACATGGTAGCGAATCGCCTGTTTCTACTGCCACCGACACCACTAAAATACCAGGTGGTGAAACAACGGCAAGAGAAACTTCTGGATCCATCACAACACCACAAAAGACCGCCAGCCAAACAACAACAATCACAAATACTTTTGAATCAACATATTTTAGCAGTGCGACTCCAGGGATGAATACTCTTTCTACAGTAAAGACGACAGTACATACGACATCCTCTTTGCCAAGTTTTACATGTCCTGGCATTGGCAAATATCCTCATCCTCATGACTGTAACAAGTTTTACTTATGCATAAACGCTATTTTTCATTTAATTAATATAATAGTAAATTGTCCCGATGGAACAAGGTTCGATGCCTACAACAAACGTTGTACAACTCATCCAGTACAATGTCCTGGAGAAGAGGCCCTGACATGTAAGACGCCAGGTCTATTTCCTCATCCTACAGATTGTAATAGGTACTACAAATGCCACTGGAATTATATTTACGCCAAGTTTGAACTGAAACAATTCCGTTGTCCTCCACGACACAGATTTGATTCTGAAATTAAATTTTGCGTACTTTCAGAATATTGCCAGATAACTGATGATTCTTTCGAATGCAGTGAAATCGGTAAATTTCCTGTTGAAACAAACTGTAAAGAATATTACGAATGTAAGCCTAACGATCACGGAATTTTTGAAAAGAAAGTTAAAACTTGTCATTTATTTAAATTATTTGATAGGGAGTTGAGAAGATGCCGAAACGAATGTTTAGTTAATAACTGCCCATTCGATTAATTTGTATGTGTAAACTGATTATAAATAAAATGAGCATTCATATTTGTTTGTCTCGTTTAATCATCCATTCACAAATAACCTTTCTCAAATTTTAATTTACATGTATATTTATTAAGAACATCAACGGTGCAAACGGACATTAGTTCCGTTTAATTTCATAAATCCCCAAAGAGTAAAATGTAGATTGTAGCGGAGATTCCAAAGCGCTCCGCTCGTACCCTCTGGAGGGCGCTGTCCTCGGCAGCGCCAGTATCAACCCCACCATGCCCACCCCCACTCGAGCCACCCTCGCCCTTTTGGTGCGTCACTACCCAGGTTTCCCCCACGCATCTCAACCCTGCCTATACATATCAGGCCCAACGCGGGCACTTTTCAGGCAGATGGAACTGTCCACCATCTCCACCTTAAGGGCTGTACTGTCTAAGGGGTCAATTCCAAGTTGGCCGGCGCAACTCAACTTTGCGCCACCGATTTGCGCCAACAGTTATTGTAAATTTTCTAGTTCAAATTTTCCATTAATGCAACGAGGGTGCAACAACGACATCTTAACTCTCTCGGTAATTTTTGGTCGTTTATCCTCACCTTTACTCGAATTTTTGAATAAATTAACAGCAACACCCGCTAAAACTTGACAGACCACCGCAATTTTTTGAGATAAATTGCGCCAACTTGCACTGCCTCCTAGAGATGCCGCAACTCCATAGTGCAAATTTCAATGGAAAATTCGACACAACTGTGTTTGTTTATTCCGTCACCCCCAGCAACCAGCATTTGATACCCAAATTAGCATTACGAAGTTGCGCTGCACCAGTGACTTGCGCCGGCGCAACTGGCCAACTTGGAATTGGCCCCTAAGTCCCCTTCTGGTCATCACCAGGGCTGCACCGTTTTCGGTCCCCTGCGCCGCTTCAAGATCTTCATTACCAGGACTGCACTGTTTTACGGTTCCCTGCGCCGCTTCGAGATCATCATCACAGGGCTGCACCGGTCTCGGTCCCCTGCACCACGTCGACTTCTTGTTATCACCAGGACTGCACTGTCTAGGTCCCCTGTGCCGCATCGCCGACGTCTTCATCGCCAGGGCTGCATTGCCTAAGTCCCCTGTGGTGCACCACCGACGTCTCCTTCAGGGTCGCACCGTCCAGGTCCCCTGTGTTACCGCCGGCGTCATCCCCTACGACACTCCGAGTCCCAGGAGGCGCCATCATCCCCGCCGAAGTTGCCGCCATACTTTGACTTGTATTATTTTTATATATCAATAAACCACTGAGTTACCACAAGAGACATTTTTTATACAAAATAATTCTTTAGCAGAAGTTATTAAAAATTAAAAGAATATGTATAGTTAAAATGTTTTTCACACGGAAAGCCACATAATGTGTAATTAATGCAAGTGAGTTGTCTCATGCTTGTAAGTATACAAATTCAAAATGAAGATTCTTGTTTGTTTTTCACACAAGCATTGTTTTTTTATTGGTACGAAACCTAATTTGGTAAGCATTTCTCAATTTATATCTGATTCATTGGATGCTCGTAAACAGGTCGATGTTATTTACCTCGATATAGCCAAGGCTTTTGATAGAGTGAACCACTGCTTGTTGCTTGCTAAATTGGAATCGTTTGGATTCTCAGTATCTTTATTGAAGTTTTTTAAGTCGTACCTGTCTAATAGACAAGTTAACGTGACAATTAATGGATTTGCCTCGACATCATATTGTCAATTATCAGGCATCCCTCAAGGATCTAACTTGGGTCCGCTGTTGTTTCAACTCTTTATTAGTGACTTACCTGATATCTTTAGTGAGGTATGTTGACTGTTATTTGCGGATGATGTAAAATTGTATAAGAAAATTAATACTGTAGATGACTGCCTGGTATTACAGTACAACGTTCACAATGCTTTATCATGGTGTAAGTTAAACGAGTTGGAGATTAACAGCAACAAATGTAAGGTGATGTCTTACACCCGTAACATTAAAAAAATTAATTTTGATTATACTCTTCTTAGTAGTTATATTATGAGAGTCTCCGTAATTGCTGATTTGGGAATAATTTTTGATCCACAGATGTCATTTAAAGAACATATCAAATATGTGACAGCAATGTCGAATAAATTGTTGGGATTTATTAGGCGTAATACCAGAGAATTTGATAATATTGATGCACTTAAAACTTTATATTTTGGTCTGGTGAGATGTAAATTGGAATATTGTTCTGAAATTTGGTTTCTTTATTATATGTAACAAAGTAAAGCTTTGGAAAACGTACAGAGGCGGTTCTTGAAATATTTATATTTTAAAGAAAAAAGAATATATCCTCCACAAGGTGTTAAAGAAAGGGAATTGCTTGATAAGTTCAATACTCTTTAAAATTTAGAAGAATAGTGCACAGTGTCTCTTTTATTTATAAACTTATACATGGTAAAATCTCCAGTCCTGACATTCTACAGAAAATTAATTTTTTTGTGCCAAGGCTTGAGACGAGATATGAATATACATTTAAATTACCAGTATGTAGGACAAATGTAGGGCTGAAATCGCCGATGCACAATATGTGCCAATATTGCAACGGAATTAGCAGTAGAGTCGATATATTCTATGATAATAATTGTAAACAAATTGTTAAGTGTTTAATACAGGTGAATTCAAAGGTTCTTTAGATTTTTGGGTTTTTATATCTGATCTAATATCGGTTTGCCGCCCGTTTTTGGAATTTTTCTGTAGGGCGCTGCATTAATAATAATAATAATAATAATAAAACCTAAAAAAATGCTACCCACCCAAATTGCACTACCTCATGCCATATTGACTTTCTTATTAAGGCAGCACACTTGAACACTTATTTCCAGATGTACTTATAAAGTCCACGCCATTTCTTCTGTCCACTCCCGAGTGTAAATTTTGGAAAATTACTGGGTATAAGATGTTTCATCGGACTTTGGGGGAAAAAGTGAGGGAAAACTTGAATGAGGTTAAAACGTTCTTAAGTTCTTTTAATTGTCAAAGCATTTGAGCATAAATAGTATTGTTACGAAAGAAACCTAAACAGAAAGCTAATTTTCAACACTTGTACAGTTTATTACTTTCGACTGACTGGTCATATCTTACTAGCATAAACGATGTCGATACTATTTGCTCTGAACTTTATATTTTAAATTATGCTTCTAAGGAAACAGTTCCAACTCATAAATACATAGGTAGACGTCACAGGCGTTTTCCTCCTTGGTTCAACGGAGTAATATTGTTTCATCTACATAAAAAATCTTCAGCGTGCAAAAATTATGAAAAACATAACGTCACCTGAGAACTGGTTTGGCGCATAGACCAGACCGCGCCCGAGGGATTTTCGCCTCTGCTCTTTAGTACAGATTTGCCGCATGTCGCACTTGGGCGAAGCGAAACATAGTTTAGATTGAGTGCTGCCCCATGTCTAAGCAGAAATCGATACAGTACCGTTATCCATTTTTACGTACTTGCTTGCTGTTTTGCTTTTCAGCGTTAAGTTTGGGGTTTGGAAAGAAATTTTAATCAACTTCACGAGCGCAGAACAAGTAATATGGGAATGACCCATAATGTGAAATAAATAAAAAAGAGACTTAACAATTTTGATGAATCTGAAATTTAAAAAAAAGCAGCTGTAATTTGTGCAACTCTTTTTTTTTTGTATAGATGTTACAAATACTTTCGATTTTTTTTTTAAGAAAGATTGAGTTTCAAATTATTAGATTCGAAATTTTACAAATTTTAATTTCAAATAGATTTGTTGCTCGTTAAACAAATAATTTAATTTTTTACTTAACAGTAACATTTTTATTTAATGTTTTCTCGGGAATGATTGAACTTATTTTCTCTAAAATTTTAATGAACAAAGTTCATAATGCTGCATACCTGTATTCTTATTTGTGGAAATGATATTTCCACATCAATAATTACAAATAACAGATACATTTTTAAGAGATAATTAAGATTCAGATTTCTTAATCAACGCGCAGAACAAGTAATACGGCAAGGACTAATAATGTGAAATAAATGAAAAATTGAAATGATATTAGAAATCGCGTGGTGAAGTTGTTAACTAAGTATAACGAACAATAAATTTTAAGTTATTGATGTTTTGATTCGATTTTTTCTAAATATTTTTAAAATAAAGAGAGTTATTTTTATTTATTTTTATATAAAATCTACATTGATAAAACTCATTGCAGTCATTCATTTTACCTAAAAATTGTAGAATCCAAATATTGCATTGTTAATTTCCATTGTTAAATGGTGAATTGTGAACGAAATATGGAGTACTAAATTTAAATATGTTTTACAGAAAGGAATTATTTTTACAAAGGATAATAAAATGTTATTTTCTTTGCATTGGCGGAGTAAAAGCGGCTCGTTGACTCGCTGCAGTCCTACTAAAATTGCAGCTTAATATGTAATTTTTTTTATATAAAATATTCAAACTGATAAAGAACACTCGGGTAAAAATAGGTTGTTGTCTGAAACAATTAGATTCCAGTATTTTATTACATTACATGGATATTGACTACAAGTAGCTATTGTCGGGCAACCAGAGAAAATTAGCAGTGATACTGTTTAAAACTGTAAATGCAATATACAGGGTGACTGCGAAATATATGCAAATATTTTAACCACGGCATCCCCCACCCTAGTAGAGCCGAAATATAGAAAAAACAAATTAAAAATCGAATGGGGCAAAACCCCCATGAACCACCCTCGATACGAAGGCACTGAGCCACCTTGTAAACAGAGTTGGAAAAACGTTCGAATAAAAACGACCTAAACACTTTCAGTTTCAATTAAAAGTAAAACCGACATTTTGCTGCTTATCATTCGTTCATTCATTTATACTCACTCATCGTTAAAGGTCAGTGTGAAAGTTGTGTGTACTGTGGCGGCACAATAACACGTCGGTAAGCAGAGAAAGATAAGTGGCTTCGTGGGCCAGTGGTTAAGATACTTGCCCGGAAAGCATAGAGACGTGGGTTCGACTCCCACCGAGGCACAACATTTTCTTTCTCTACTTACCTACAAACCCTTAAAAACTATACCCCCAAAACAGACTTGCAGACTGGGGGTTAAAAATACTCCAATCAAGTCAAAACTTGAGATTTGCTTATTTCTCAATCCGAAGATTGTTGATGCAAAATTTCAACTCGGTCAGAGAAACCGATAAAAACTATCCCCAAAACAACTTTGCAGACTGGGCCTTAAAAATATTATTACCAAATCGAAACTTAGTGTTTGCCTGTTTATCTATGCGAGAAGTGTTAATGCAAAAAAATCAGCCTTTTTTAAGCTGCCCTTAACAAGTGCCCCAAAGCAATCTTTCATACTGGATCTTAAAAATACTCCAATTGAGTCGAAAGTTACCACTTGCTGAGTTCTCTGGACAAAAAATTATCATGTTAAATTTCAGTCACCTTGAAGCAACTAATAAAAATAATTGATATATACATTCATTTAAATTAAAAGTAGCAGAAAAATTTCAGACACATAAAGGGACAATATTTCTAAAGTACCATGTAGGTAGAATGAGAGGAGGGAATATAGTTATAATATTTTATATTATATTTATTTAATAATTATATAATAAGAAAGCATATAAAAGCAACAGCAGTAAATTAACTTGAGTTTTTATTGGTTAAGATTCGTTGCGACGGTCGTCGTGTTATCTCCACCTTCGCGCAAACCGAGCTAATGATTTTAATATGCACTGTTAATTATGAAAAATGTTGTTTTGTTACCTTTTATAACTTTATTTTAATGCATCTATCTTTAGTAATCATTCTCATATTCATAATTATATTTTGCAAAAGCGTTGAATTTTTATTTTTGTTTTTTTAGTTTTACTTTGCATATAAACTTGTTAAAAAAATAGGAGTAATATATAAATTAATTTATTCTAACAACTTGGTTTTATTTATAATATACTATCTAAGTAGCAAGCTTTCGTTACCAAAATTTTTTATTATTATTAAGACCCACCACTGACCCGGAAATGACCGGCATTCAGGCAAGACTTCTATCATTACGGGTACTAAGACCAAGTAATGATACGCATTGATTAGATTAACAAAACAACTTTCGAGATTCTAGAATTACAGCAAACAAATTAGTCTGCTATTATTCTCTAATCTCACCCCATCCCCAAAAGTCTAGCGTAACTACCGATCATTTATCCGCGCATCACTTGGAAAGTGACCTACACTACTCTGACCTACTGGTGCTAATCTAATCTGACTGACATGATCAGACTGTTCAAGAAA